GCTACGGTTTTCTCTTGCTGGCAGGCTGCAAGAGGAGGGTGCAGGGAAAGGGGACGACGGAGACGCAGGGAAAGAGGACAACGGGTGCGTCGACTCAGCGCACGCCGACAGGGGGTCCACACGCCGTCAGGGTCGGCGGATTTGCGGTGGTGGTTGCATGGGTGCAGTAGTTTGCGGTCTGGACGCAACAGTTGCGCGTGGATTCAGTCGTGCATTCTGTCAGACGCAATAGCCGAGGCCCCTTACAGTAGTTCGCGCCCCCGAGCAACAGTTCACTCAAGAGTTCGCGCAAGCGAACTATTGCGCCCCCCACCGCCCCCCCATCGGAGGTGCCCCCATCACTCACTCACTCATGCCATACGCCAGAGCGCGTGGGCACAAGAAGACAAGGCCAGCCTATTCTCACCGCTTTGCGGGAGCGGCGGCACGAGGGCGGTCGATAGTTTACAACGTGCGGGGCAGGAGGATGAGGATGAGGAGGAGGATGAGGATGAGGATGAGGATGAGGATGAGGATGATGAGGAGGAGGAGGAGGAGGAGGAGGAGGAGGAGGAGGAGGAGGAGGAGGAGGAGGACGTGGTGGGGTGAACGCACTGCGTCCGCCTCCTCTGCTGTGCCAAGGAGGAGGAGGAAGGAAGGAGGGAGGACATCCAGCTGGCGAATGAGGGTGGACAGCCAGGGAGGAGGGCTACCGGGGAGGACGAGGTTCCGGCTTGAATCGAGGGAGCGCCCAGGTGCGGCGGCGAGCGCCCTTCTCGGCGGTGCGCGCCGAGGTGGGAAGCGAGCGAGGGCCACGCCTGCTCTCGGGAGGCGGCCAGGGCTTCTCAGAAGCCTCCCGTGGCCGTAAGTAGGCTCCACAGGAGGGATATCCCAAAACAGTCGAGACATAGTAAGGTGACGATTCCTTTCGTATTTTTGGCTATTTTGGCATACATATTTTGGGTATTTCTTTTCGTCCCAGATCCGCCTGTAGGAGGGCACGCCCGACCTAACCGTAGCCTTCCGAGAAGCCGCCCGCGGCTTCGGAGAAGGCCCAGGAAGCTTCCCTCCGGCAAAGCGCGCTCCCTCTGAGTCTCCCCGCCCTGAGCGCGCCGTCGCCCTCCAGCAGGAGGCCCAGCAGCGGCGGGGCGGCGCCGTGAGCGGCACGTGCTCCTCTGCCGCGAGCCGCCCCCTCCCGGCCCGCCTGCCCTGGGGCGGCAGGACGTCCTCGACCTCCAGCGCCGCGGCTGGCAGGAGAAGGTTGTCCGGGATCAGGAGCCCCGGCGCCCCGCGCCTGAGCGGGGGCAGGTGGCGGGGCTGGAGAAGCGGGTGATGGACGAGGGGATGACAGAGTGGTGCTGGCGACGAGGAGGAGGGGGAGCAGGAGGTGGGGGAGGAGAAGGAGGGGGAGGAGGAGGAGGAGGAGGAGGAGGAGGAGGAGGAGGAGGAGGAGGAGGAGGAGGAGGAGGCGGAGGCAGAGGAGGAGGGAGGAGGCGGAGGCGGAGGCGGAGGCGGAGGCGGAGGAGGAGGAGGAGGAGGAGGAGGAGGAGGAGGAGGAGGAGGAGGAGGAGGAGGAGGAGGAGGAGGAGGAGGAGGAGGAGGAGGAGGAGGAGGAGGAGGAGGAGGAGGAGGAGGAGGAGGAGGAGGAGGAGGAGGAGGAGGAGAGGAGGAGGAGGAGGAGGAGGAGGAGGAGGAGGAGGAGGAGGAGGAGGAGGAGGAGGAGGAGGAGGAGGAGGAGGAGGAGGAGGAGGAGGAGGAGGAGGAGGAGGAGGAGGAGGAGGAGGAGGAGGAGGAGGAGGGGGAGGACGGAGGAGGGGGAGAAGGAGGCATGAGGAGGAGAGGAGGAGGAGGGGAGGAGGAGGAGGAGGAGGAGGAGGAGGAGGAGGAGGAGGAGGCATGAGGAGGAGGAGAGGAGGAGGAGGAGGAGGAGGAGGAGGAGGAGGAGGAGGAGGAGGACCAGTGTAAACCCAAGACTCATCAAGGATATTGCAATAAACCCTCTCTACAAATTCCTTCTCCGTAGGGCCCTGACAAGGGTTCATTTTACTGAGGTAAGTGCCCCGTTGGAAGACGACCGTTTGGACATCCTGAACTGTGCCAGAACATCAATCCTGGGATGTCAACGCCGCGAATCCCCGTCACTGTAGCGTCTTGACGATCTTGAGTCGCGCCAGAACACCATTCCCAGGATACCAGCACTTCAAATCAGTCTAACTGCTGCGCCCTGACAATCCGACATCGTGCCAATACGCCATTTCTTGGACGGCAGCCCCTGTAAACTCTTAAAACGAAGGTGCGTACGCGGCGCTGAGACGAGAGCCACATTTTGAAAGCGGCCCGCCCTTCATCCGTGGAGTTCTTGCACATTTCAAAGACGAGTTCACGCGGCGGTGAGGTGACAGCCATATCTTGAAAGCGGCCCGCCCTCCATGGGTTCAGCCCGTGTATATCTTTAAAAGGAATGTGCGCGGCGCGAAATCGAGAGCCACATGTTGAACGCGACCCGCCCTCCATCCGTGACTTTGTTTGCGCGATTTTTTAGCTTAGGGATCATAGATGGTGAGGAAGTCTCAGGCGAAGTGCTCAGCCCGCCCTGCCGACACGCCTCCGGGGTTCGACGGGGAGGAGTTACTGATGAGGCCAAAGAGCGAAGGAGGAGCAGGAACAGGAGAGGGAGGCGGAGGAGGAGGAGGCGGAGGAGGAGGAGAGGGAGGCGGAGGAGGAGGAGGAGGAGGAGGAGGAGGAGGAAATGGGGGATAGGGGGATGATGATGCTGATGATGATGATGATGATGATGATGATGATGATGGTGGTGGTGGTGGTGGTGGTGATGATGATGATGATGATGATGAGGAGGAGGAGGAGGAGGAGGAGGAGGAGGAGGAGGCGCGGTGGCGGGCGCGGTCTGGCTGGCCGCGGAGCTCGCCCGCTGAGCGGCTGCAGCGCGGCCGGCAGGCAGGGCTGGGCCGATGCCAGGGCACGGTGAAGCTGCTCTGCATCATCGTCGTGGTGCTGGAGGAGGTCAGAGTGTGTGCGGGTTTGCTAGCACAGACCTTTCCGATGTCTCAAGAAGGACGCTGAGGCAGAGGGGCGCGATCAGGAAGTGCAGGCTCGCCTCAGTGGCCAGCAGCGGTGCCAGGCATGGCGGTGGCGCGCGGGGGCCGAGGGGAGTGCCACCCGCCTCCCTCCCGGAGTTGCTGGGCAAGAGAGGTCTCGAGGCCAATTTCAGGTTGTGCTTCGGCCTATTACGCATGGGGCGAATTCATGAGTGAGGTCGGACCGAGGTATACGATCGAACTCGGTTCGGGGAGGGTACCCTACTGCTCTTCAGATGTTCTTGTGCGTCCTGGGGGAGAGCTTCCGAATGTTTTTCAGTCGTTCCGGCGGAGTGTCTCGTGTTCTTGAGGGGTGTTATTCTGTCCTAAGCCCGGCCGTATTCCAGAGGTCGTAAGAGAAACAGCTCTCCCAGGCGGGCATCTTGAGATCACTCTCGAACCAGCCACGAGAAGGCGGCTTTTTGCCCGTGTCCCGGGGAAGCCTCCGAGACAGTTCAAATCAGCGCCCCAACAAATCGTACCGTCTTTTTTATTAAAAAAAGGGAGAGCCAACGTGCGGTAGGTTTGCGCCGCGTTGGCCCGGCGGCGATCCCAGCGCGGGCGTTCAACGTCAAACGCCGCCAGTGGCGGAGACCTGGCCGATGTCGAGCGATCTGCGCAATCTATCGGAGAATCGCGATCGTTCAAGCTTGAACGATCCACGCGGTGTCAAATGCCAATTACAAAGTCGTCACTACGCCAGCCAACCTGTCCTAGATATCGGATGTTTGTTTTCGTAGTGCCGCTCTTGTTTTGCACCGGTGACGCCGCGGCGCCCGCGTGAAATGCCCCCGGAGGCGCGCGCTTGCGGGTCCGATCCGATCTGATGACGAGTAGGGGAAAGGGAACAGTGGCGACAATAGCAGGAGGAAGACCAGGATGACTGGGGGCAAGACGGCAGGACAGTGACTACGAGTCTGAATGGCAGGGGCAGGGAATATAAGGAATTTGATAATGGGAAGAAGGACGAGGAGGATGAAGAGGGGGAGGAGGAGGACGAGGAGGAGGAAGAGGAGGAGGAAGAGGAGGAGGAATTATCAAACCGATGTGCCAAATAGCGAAATGGCCATACCACTGCTCGTTTCGTGAGCCCCGCCCACCCTGATATTCCAACATGCCGTGCGTGCTCGTCATGGTGTCGGGCCAATTACCGTGGCGACACTTCGAGCGCGCCGATCTGCCGAAGCAGGGTTTCCCAGTAAACCGCGGATGCTGGTATGGAGAGGACTTGTAAACTATGTGCGACCCTTGCCGCATCGTCGCAGCAGCAGAAGGGCAAATCTATCCTCTCAAAACAACAGTCTTTCCGAACGGCGATGGTTCTATCAGGTACATCGGACCGAGATCCGAGGGGAAACGTTCATATCGATGACAGGTACCACGCGTGGCCAATCGGGAGTTCAAACACGCACACCATACGAGTATTGTCGAGCATTGGGTTGTTGACGGCGACGGCTCATCATTGAAACATCAAGCAGGGAACAGGGTGGTGGGCGAAGTTGTTGAGTCCGAGGACAGTGAAGTGGAAGTTGCCCAGGGCTGATGGGTGAGTCAGCAACGATACAGGCGTCTATTTTGCAGGTATCCAAGTGAGTTCCGATGGTGGAAAGGTGAATTATTGAGTGCGTTCGCTCACATTGATCAACGGGGGCCAAAATGCGATGAACATGTTGACTTCACATATTTGGCCAACCTGCGGATCGTTGCACGGCATGGATGGACATAGTCGAATGTTGAAATGTGGTTCGGGTGATCAGCACACCGTGCTGTCATAACATAGTAAAGTGGCCAACGGAACGCGAATTCAAGATCGAAGAGTCAACGGGATTATGGGAATTGTTGCGGTGCTGTTCTACCGCCAAACATGTACAGTGACGCGAACGCAATGGGTCCAACCATGCTGTGGGCTCACATAGTACGTGTGCAGTAGTGCATATTCGGCAATGAGTTGCCACATTGGATCGGCGGCAATAGTCATTACGACATATTTAGAGCGCTTCCCCCACATTCTCAAGCATCACGCAAACAGTGTGAGCGATGGGCAGCGCCAGTTGGCGCCTGGAAAACAAGGGGGATGCGTGAAGAGCCGCTGACGGGGCGCGACCAAGACTGAGGAAAAGGTGATCGCCAGAAAGGGCAGCGAATCTCAATGTTGTCAATGTTCTGGCGCTGGGGCACCGCGCGGAGTTGCCCTCATTGCAGAATTCAGCGTGGCTGCGCGGGCGGGAAGACAGGCGATAGTAAAGGGTTGCGGTATGCTTGGATGTCGTGGCGCCAGACCTGGCTCGTGCGAGACCGCGCGCAGCGGCCACATCACACAGGCCGCGGCCGGCGTGCGGGCGGATGGGGCGGCGGCACCGCCCTCGACAGGAGGCTGCGCGGAAGGAGCTGTGCCGATCGTCGACCGGTGACATCATCGCTGTGGAGACCGAGTGCGCGCGGCCGCTGCAGTTGTCACGATCGGTGCCAACCAGAGGGCAGGGCGGGGCGGGGCAGGGCAGGCCGCAGTCGTTGCGAAGCCAACGCCGTCGTCGGGGGAATCTTCTGCTCGGCCTCCAACCCTGCTTGGCAAGTGATGTTGGAGTGCTGGCGGCAACCGCGTGGCGAGAGACAGAATGTTGCAGTGTTCGCCGCGTCGCGGGGTCAGATGTGTGCCGGAGAAGCAGTGGTTGACATTATTGACCTTGGGAGCGAAGTGAACGTTGTACCCAGGAACGTCCAGACGTCCGTCGTTCATCGTGGTTGCCGTGGTCCCTGGTGCTGACGCAGCGGTGGGGCCACCAACGGTGCGATCGCGCTTCTTGTTTGTTGCGCCCGATACAGGGTTCCCAGATGAGTAACAGCTACAGCGCAACCCGCGGTTGGTTCTCCAGAGTCACGGATACAAGGTTAGAGTGAAGAAAGTTGGCATGGATATTTGGGTAGCTCGCCGATCCAGCTTGCATATGTCAGGTGCGTGTCAGGTCGGCTTGAGAAATGGTGGAAGCAGCCAACAGGATAGCGTTTTACCTGGATGGACAATGAAGCTTGCGCAATTGTCGCATGTCAGGTAGGAGCAGTTCTTCGCGAGGCCACCAGAATTGCGCAATTGTCGCATGTCAGGTAGGAGCAGTTCTTCGCGAGGCCACCAGAATCTACCTATTTCCGAGCCAGGTGTCCGATGGGGTGGATCTGGCGCTCAGGCTGGGTTTGCTCAGGCTGGGGATCGTCGTGGGCGACGCTTTTTCGTAGCATCCCGAGCTCCACGGGCGCTCCTTAACCTGCTGCTTTGAGGGCGGCAGGAGGCGCCGCCAGATCGACAGCTGGGCAGCGACGCGCACACGCGGCGCATAGTTTCAAAGGCCGCCAACCACGAGCACACGAGATGGACATGGAGAGGACTACAGTGGCAACCAGGAGCCAACCCACACCACTGCGGCCAACGACAGCACATTGGAGCGCAGGCCTTACTTGCATCTGGCGCCTACACACACCACTGCGAAGGAACAGCTTCACGACATTTCGAATATTCCAACGGCCAAAGACAGCCTCACGTCGTCAACGCTCAAGCACCAGTGCGCCGACGCTGCACGACGGCACCTCCAACGATCGTCGGCGTCAAGAGCCAGGCCTTCCACTTCCTCCTTCCTCTCCTCTTGCCCGCCAGCTCACCCTCCGCAACTCTCCAGGTGTCTCGCGGTTCTGGCGCATGTTCCCCAACAGCGTTTCTCCACATGTTTACTTCACAGTTTTACCAAAAGGCACAGATGAGCCCCACGGTTGGGACGGGGAGCCCTGGATCGCCCGGCCCGGCAGCCGTTCCGCTTGAAATTTCCTCGCAATTGATTCAGCAGCCGTGCTCTCGCCTCAATGCCGGCTACAAGTTGGGTCTGGACGGCCGCGATCCCCGGTAAAATATACAGTGCGGTGTACATGGTCGCTCTCGCTTCTGACCCGCTTTTCAGAGTTCCTAGGGATCCTTGGGAATACTTTGAAATGCGCGTTTTCACGAGCCTACTTCCTACTCCTCGACCCGCCTCTTCACATTTGCTGCCATTCGAGTGCTTTGCTGGGGTACCTTCTGTTTTCCATGCGCGCCGAATCCCTGAGGACATGGCCTCGCCCAGTTGGTCTTAGCTTGGCCCGGACGATAATCCGCTAATCAGAGAGGTCGATCGTTTCTTCTCACTCGCGTGTGCGCCGGGGGATGTCTTTCTTTGTTTTTGTTCCTTCTATCAATTTGGGGTGCGAGCCTGTTTGCCTTCCAGATGCCGGGTGACCGAGCGAGGAAAAGCAAGGATAAACAACATGAGCATGTGCGAGGGTGGCAGGATGCGAGGGAGGAGGGGGAGGAGGAGGAAGAGGAGGAGGAGAAGGAGGAGGAGGAGGAGGACTAGGTCGATGAACATGGGGACGGGCGGCGGCAGCAGCAGTATGAGCAGGGAAGGCCTCTGACGGGACATCTGCTCCCGATGCCTCTTGTCATTTTTCCCCCCGCGACTCTTTTTTGTTGTTGTTGTTGTTGTTGTTGTTGTTGTTGTTGTTGTTGTTGTTGTTGTTGTTGTTGTTGTTGTTGTTGTTGTTGAATGTTTGTATATTTCACCCTCTTTCTGTCTTTCTCTCTCTCTCTCTTTCACTCTCTTCCTTTCCCTTTCCTTATCCCTTCCGCTCCCTCTCCCTCTCCCGCTCTAACTTGGGCGCTTTTGGCGAGGCCTATGGGCTGTACACAATTTCCGCACCCCTGCGAGCCCACGCCTTCTGCTCGCGTCCCCCTGAGTCTTCAAGGCCATGCGGGGATCGTTCTTTGGGTTTCGCCCACCTTCTCCTTTCAGATCGGTTCCTGCCGCCTGTCCTGCTATGCCCTTCCCGTCCTTCTCTCCCATCCCCATCCCCCTCTTCCTCCCTCGCCCCACTTTCCGCCGCCCCCCTCCCCGTCCTCGTTCGCATGCCCATTCGCCTCCGCAGTCTTTCTCCCAATCCCGATCGCTCAGATGTTCGATCACGGACCCCTCGTGGCACGCAAGCGTCCAGCTCTCGCGCCGAAGTCCGCCGAGCACCGAAGGCCCCCGGAGACGCCCGCAGACCGCGGGACGGCCGAACACCTCCGACGGACCGCCGACAGACCGCCCATGGGGCGATGAGTAACACAGGGCCCATGGTCGAATGCGCAGCATCCTTGTGGAAGTCGATGAACGGAGAGGAGGCATGCTGCCAAATAGTTTCCAGATGTCCAGAACATGTTTCAATCATGCTTTAAACATGTAAAAATCGGTTGAAGCATCAGCCTAAACACATGTTTTAATTCAATGATAGCATTGTCTGAGTGTCCACTGTCGTGCATCCACAACAGCATCCCCGTCCCCGCCCCCCATTCCCCAGGGCTCCCGCCCCTCCCCGCGCCCTGCCCGCTGGCACGTCTCCCCCCCCCCGCAGGCCAGCCCCTGGCACCGAGCGCGCTCCACCACTCGCAGAGGGCCCACAGTCGGCCCGGAGTGGTGGGTCGGCCCTGCCAAGTCAAGGGCACCCTCGTGTCCTGTGTCTCGCGACCCATGCTGCCTACATGCCTGTGGCAAGGTGGCCCTCGGAGTGGTCTTGTGTCCTCTCGCGTGTCCTCTCCAGTCAAGCTCGGCCGTACCCGCAAGCGTCCGAAGAGAAGACAGATGCCTCGACGTCATGGACCGTATATCCCCCGCGGCAGATCCAGGCCACTTACGAGTAGCCACTTTGCGAGTGATGGAGCGCTCGGACCGAGATACACGATCGAGGTCGGTTCGTGGAGGGTACCCTAATGGTTTCTTTTCTGTTTGGATGTTCTGGTGCATCCTGAGGAGGGTGCCCTTGGGTGTGCCGTGTGTTTTGGCCGGCATGAGGGGCTCATGCTCCTGAAGGATGTTTTTTCTGTCTTAGGTTTAAGTCGGGCATGTCCCTCTTCAGGAATAATATTCAAGACTAGTCAAAGATAGTATGGTGACGATTTTCCGTGGTATTATTCCCATACAGCGAGTCTTGTTTAAATATGCTTTATGTGTCTTTCGAAATCCGCCTGTAGGAGGACATGCCCAACCTGATCCCCCTCCTCCTCCTCCTCCTGCTCATCCTCCCTCCTCCTCCGCCTCATCCTCCCTCCTCCTCCTCCTCCGCCTCCCCCTCCTCCGCCTCCTCCTCCTCCTCCTCCTCCTCCTCCTCCTCCTCCTCCCCCTCCTCCTCCTCCCCCTCCTCCTCCTCCTCCGCCTCCTCCTCCTCCGCCTCCTCCTACTCCTCATCCCTGATCCTAGGTCCGAGCGTGGCTGCTCTGCGAGTGGTGGAACGCGCTCGTCTCTGCCCCGGGGAGGCCCACGCCTCACCCGCCCCGTGGCGGCGTGGGAGCCACGGGGAGCCTCCCTTCCTGGGACCGGGCGCGCTGGGATCCATGCCGTGCCTCTCCCGTCCTTCGAAGAATCAGGAGGGGAAAAAACACACAGACACAATTGATCGTCGATCCCCAAGAAAATATGGGAAAATATGGGAATTGGGCGGGAAGACAAAAACCCAGAACATATGGAAAATATGGGGGATCTTTTTATTTGTGTGTATTTATTTGTGTGTCCCAGGGCCCCTTCAGCAACGCCAGACACATCCGCTCTTGGCGGTTTTTCTTTTTCTCGTCCTCCCCTCTCGTCCGCTCGCCGCGCTTTAAGGGGGCGAAGAGCGGCATGCGATAAACTTGCCCGCCGTCGGGGGCGCCTGCCACCTGGGCGGATGCAAAGTTTGCACCCCTGGGGCGCCGCGTAGGGGTAGAAATTTTCCAGCTGCCGGGGGGGGCCAGCGTCCCAGACGGCGGAAGAGTTTGTTTCATACCGTTCTTCGCCCGCGAAGCGCTTGCCGAAGCGTCCCAGTACGCCGCCCCCCCCCCCCCCCCGCAGGCCAAACCCCTGCAGGAGGTCCGGAAGGATGCGGCCCTGGAGGCCGCCCCCGGCGCCGAAGAGACCGCGGGGCCGGGCCTCTCAGGAGTTGCGCTCTCCGAGGGAACAGCGATCGAGGAGGAGGAGGAGGAGGGAGGAGGCTGCAGGAGGAGGAGGAGGAGGAGGAGGAGGAGGAGGAGGAGGAGGAGGAGGAGGAGGAGGAGGAGGAGGGAGGAGAAGGAGGAGGGAGGAGGGAGGAGGGAGGAGGGAGGAGTCCGTAGCCATTTTGGCTCAAGTACGAAACCGTGCCCTGCGGCTTCGTGCTTGTCTGCAGCCGAGGGGCTGGCTCGAGGCGAGCCGCCCACAGCACCGTGCAGGTCGATTCCCCCACGATCCCCACGGTGAGCCCTCGTGCGGCCGTGGCTTGTGTCGGTTTCCTTCACTTCCCTCAGTGCATGCGTGCTGCTTCGATGGGTGGCTCTCACGCTCAGGGCCAGCGGGTCCGATGCGAAGCATGTGGTCGTGGCAAAAACTTGGCGTGGTGGAAGTCGTGCAAGCACGTCGAACCGACGGAGCAGCCACCGAGGCGGCCAAGCCGTGGGCAGAGGGCTCTGGCACGCTCCCCTTGCTGCTCGTTCTGTCGGGCAGCGCGGCGTGTGCCCGTGGCGGGGCCAGTCGCCAGCGAGTCCTCCTCCTCCTCCTCCTCCTCCTCCTCCTCCTCCTCCTCCTCCTCCTCCTCCTCCTCCTCTGTCGCGTGACCGACACCCAGCTGGCAAGCCCCCGCCAAGGGTCTCTCTTTCCCGCTGGAGCCCGAGGTCGTCATCGTGGACGGCGGCACGGGGGAGCAGCGGCTGGGCCAGCTTGTGTCCCTGCTTGCAGAGTCAGGTGACACAGTTGTGGCAACCGTCTACCAGAGGAAGCTTGACGAATACCGCAGGAGCAAGGTCGACAACGACGTGTCCTTTGAGCTGGCCAATGTAAGGCGAGACCGCGGCGTCAGCACTTCGGCGCAGCATCGACGCGCGCGAGCAGCTCGAGCAGCAGGTTGAGGCGGCCCAGCAGGAGCTTGAGCATCTCAGCCGGGAGCTGGACATCGCCCGCTGCCGCTACCAGGCTGCTGTCAAGCGGCTCCACGCCATCGTCACCGCCGAGGCGGACGACGGTGCAGCCCAGACCCAGCTACCGGGCTCAGCCAAGATCAACTTGTCGTGCCTCTTGGATGGGCACCCTTTGGAACAGGGCGCCGGCGACATGTTCGGCCTCGTTGACCTCTGCGACGTCGTGGCCCCAGAGGGCCGCGAGGAGACCACGCGCAGGAAGGGGCACCTGCAGATGGAGTTCCAGGAGGCAGTGGGCAGCTTGTTCGGGCCGCTGCGCGAGCAGGCAGCGCGGCTCACCAAGGAACTGCAGCAGCTCCAGGACAGGTTGGCGGCGAAGAAGCGTATATCCAATCCTGGCAGCAACGAGCGGGCGCCAGGGGGCAGGATCCGCGGCGGCGGCGGCCCCTGAGGCGCCAGCGGGCGCCAAGCGGCCCCCGCGGCGGAGCCAGCGCCTGCAGGTCAGCCGCGCAGGGGCAGCTCCGCGGTCAAGGCTGCCGGGGGCCGCCGCCAAGGAGGCGGGCAAGGGCGCGTCGAGCCCTTGACGACGTCGGCCGCGGCGTCCACACTCACTCTATTCATCCGGCTTTGATTGCTACTTCGTCGAGTGCGGGGCGGGATGGCGCCCTGCTTCTTCGCCAGTGGATCGCGCGCAGCGACGTGGCTTGATGGGTTCGGGCAGGGGGCTCCTGATGCGTGCTATGCCGGCGGCAATTGCGAAGATTCGCTCTGGGGCCTTCCTGATGGAGTCCATGGCGACTGCAGCAACTATCAGTGCAGAGCCAATGTCTCATCGCAGAGCGCGCCTGCCCGGCTGCCGCGGCGCGCCGTCGTCGGGGCCAGCCCTGCGCCGAAGATGTAGAAGGATATTGAAAGGTGGGCCAGTCGGTGGATCCGCGACGCGCGCGTGGGAGAGGGCCCAGACGAAGAGGCGGCTTGGCGCGACTGGCGTGAACGCTGCGTCGTCGAGCCGCCGAGGGCGCCGAAGTTCGCGGCAATTCCCCGCGCCCGCGGCAGCGCGGCCGAGAAGATGCCCCGGGGCCTGGCGCGCAGGGGCCCGCGGCCGAGCGGCCTTCATGAAGTAGCTGGGCGGCCTCGACTTCAGCCAGTGGAGGGCGGCCACCGCGACCCGGGAGCAGGGGCGCGGGCAGCTGCGGAGCTGGCTTGCAGATCCTGACTAGCAGGGCGATGCGCCGCCCACGGGCCCGCGCAGGGCCGCGGCGACCCGCGGGGGCCATGAGGGGCCCTGGCCATCGGCTGCGTCGGCCTCCTCAGACTCTCCAGCGCCGACGGCGAGTGGTGCTGCGCGGCGACGGCGGCTTCGGCGTCGCTTACCGCGACGACAGAGCCGGCCGGGAGGTGGCGCCCCTGGCTCAATGTCGCCGTTATGTCGGATCCCCTTGGCGTGCTCCTCGAGCGCCGGGGGGCTTCCGCGTCCGGGCCTATGAGCAAACGAGGTGACGATGATGATGCGAGAGTCCAGCGTCATCGGCATCGAGCTCTCCTGCGAGGCCGGGCAGGGGCTTCGCTGCGCCCCCAGCCAGCGGTCCACGACGAGATCGAAGCCCGCCTCGAGTGGAGGAGGTACTGCATGCCGCGCGTGTTCCGCGCGCTGGGTGAGGCTGCTTCCGCGCCGATGGTGCGCCGCGCGGCATGCCTCAACGCCTGCGACGTAGTCGAGGCGCGCATTATCCTGGCGCGGGACTTCTGCAGCGCCACGTTGGCTGACCAATCCCGAGCGCGAGACCGCTACCTGGCGCGCTGAGGCCGAGGCGCATCGGCCACCTGGGCGACTACCGGGGGGAGGCGCGCAGGCACGTGGACGCGCAGAGGGGCGCCGCCGACTTCGTGGACAGCAACTCCCAGCCACGCCCGCGGACGCAGCAACAGGAGGTGTCCGAGGCTGTTGCAGCAGGACTTGGCGCGGCTGATGTTGCCGCGCCTGCCTCCAGAGCTGGCGCGACGACGGCGAGTCCGGCTTCCCCATGTGCGGCGCAGGCGCCGCAGGGGCCAGGCAACTCGTGGTCGTCGGCCCAGGGCGTTTTGGAGTGGCAGTTTCTGCGAGGGGAGAAAGCGGCCCATGGTTGGGCCATCCAGGAGACCCGTTTGGAATCGTCGGGTATCCCATCGGCCCGCATGTGGGCTGGTCACCGCGGTGTCAACGCTGCCTTCAATGCTGCCGCTCGTGCGGGAAAGCACGTTCTGGCCACCGGCGCTGGCGCCGTGGCTGGCGCGTCTCGCGTCTTCGCAGCCGGCCCTTGTTGGATTCGGAGGTGGGCCTGCGTGGGGCATGTGTGTGTGGGGTCGATGCCATGATGCTGATTGGTTTCCTTTGGGTCTCGGTGCGTGCCCGTGTTGGGCTGGGGTGTTCCGGGGCCAACTTGATGCTTTTGCAGGGCCTCGGGGCGCGCCTTCAAGGGCGCGGCGCCCCTGGGTGCTCGCGGGGGGCCTGGGCGTGGAGCCTGGCAGCGAGGGGCTTCAGCGTTGGAGCCGGCTGCTTGGAGGCGCGATCGTCGCGCCTGATGTTCCTGCGTTTGCAGGGGCAGGCGCGCCCGGGTGCTAGGACTTTCCAATTGTTCCGTGAGTCCAGGCTTCGAGCGTCGCCGACGTCGGACCGCCTCGCGCCGCGCCCTGAGGGCCGCGCGCGCCAGTGCAGCTGGCGACGCGCGGCTTCTCCGCGCGCCTCCCCGTGCAGGCGCCCGTGGCCTGGGGGCTGTTCCCCGCGGAGATGCCGAGCGGGTGCAGACGTGAGGCGCGAGGGCGTACCTGGTCTTGGGAAGCCTCTCAGTTGCCCGACGAGACGCCCCCGGAAGCTGCCCGGGGGGAACGGTTGGGGCGCGTGGAGGATGAATGCCGCCACATTCCGCCCTCGCTGAGGTCGAGGATGTTCCTCTCAGGGGCCGTGGTGGGGCCTTGCAGACAATTCGGTGCAGCTGTCTATTCTTTCGAGACGTAAGTGGAATTCTGGGACTTCTCCGATGGCTAGGGGGTGGCGCGCGCTCCAGATTGTTGTGTGTGTGTGTGTGTGTGTGTGTGTGTGTGTGTGTGTGTGTGTGTGTGTGTGTGTGTGTGTGTGTGTGTGTGTGTGTGTGTGTGTGTGTGTGTGTGTGTGTGTGTGTGTGTGTGTGTGTGTGTGTGTGTGTGTGTGTGTGTGTGTGTGCGTGTGTGTGTGTGTGTGTGTGTGTGTGTGTGTGTGTGTGTGTGTGTGTGTGAGATCGGCGTGTCATGGGGCAAGGCGCGCGTCCAGTCGGCCGCTTCGGCCATCGACGGGCTGCGCCAGGCCCCGCGTAACATCGAGCCCGAGGTCTGAGGCCCAGGTGCCGGTGCGCTGGGCGGTCTGTCTTGGGTCTTTGAGCAGAGCCTGCAGCGGGGCGAAGGGCTCAGGAAACCCGTTGCCCATCGCGACCTTGTCGCGGCGCGGGCGCCCAAGGAGGGCGCCCAGGCCAGATGGCAGCGCCGGAGGGCTCGGGCGCGAGATGCGGTCGCAGGCGGAGGTGAAGCAGCGCGTTGTTTTGCCCGAGGCGCCCGCCCCACTCCCGGCCCCGCCGGCCCTGGCGGGCTTCCGCCCCAGGGTGGTCGCTGGAAAAATGGCCAGACTTCCGCGAGCAGCGAGCAGGAGCAGGAATCCATGAGCGCCGCGCTGCCTCCTCCAGACCTTCAGCTTCAAGAGGCCCTCAAGAGGTTCAGGCGCGATGTGGGGCTGGGTATAGACTGCGTCAACCCGCGCGAGTGGCTCTTGCTGGACCTCGATGTCCAGTGGCGCCTGCTAGATGTCATCATTTTGTGGGAGGCCAAGCCAGTGGCCGTCCATCATTGTCTTTATTGGCACGCCCGGCGGAGGCGGCCCGCGCCGGATCGCCCTCGCATGCAGCCTCTGCCGCGCCCAGGGACGGACGCGCCAAGATGTAGCTCGGGAGTGGGAAGCCGCGCGCGACATCCCGTGCTTCTTGGGGCCCAGTGGCCGCGCGC